TGCTTCTGAAGCTGTAACGCTTGAAAGTGCTTCAATGATGGAGAATAACTTCAAGTTAGAGATCTTGCGCTATTTGCATCAGACAAGCCTCGAAGGAAGTGGACTTTGAGACCTTTCAAGAAGCCTTAATGGTCGAAAAGAATCGAGATATCTCACGAACACTTCTGATAGGGAAGTATCGGGATATAGCAAGTATATACCATTTCTAAAATCCTCGATTGTCTGAAAAGTTTGTTGCACACATAGCAGTCAAACTTTGAGTTGTAAGAGGAAGTAATGGCAGGTTTGATCTGAATCGTCTCATCTTATGACAGCGCTCAGTGCTCTGCTACTTTGCAGCAAATTTAACAATCCTGTTGGAAGGATAGGGAAGATTGCAGTCAGAAGTTGTTTGTTATGAAAATTTTTCCCCAGTAGTTAGGAGAATCTGGAGGTTTTCACGTATTGGCCATATTGTTAGGAAGGACCGCTGGGTAAAGGAACTCATATCACTCTAACAAACTAAGATTTGAGGACAGGACGAGATCAGAGTCTAGCAGAGGCACCATTTGATTCAACTGGCTTGGCATCGGCAAAGGCGGGGCTTCGTGACCTAATTAAGGCTAGGTAATGATCAGAGAGCACTCGCGCGAGAGAGACGCAGGTGCGTCGCGGGCGCGAGCGGCCTCAGTTAGATCACAAAACCCCGCCCTAATGGTGTCAAGCCATTTGAATCAAATGTTAGTCCGTTCACACGCTTGCTGTCGTTTTTAAGGTAAGCGGGAAACCTCATGTTACCAGTAATAGGCAAAATTGACACGTTACAGACATGATTAGTGCATAATCCTGTTTGCATGCGATTTGACTCGTTAGAGCACAATTTTGCGTAAAAAAAACTAAGAAGCCATTTTCACAGCGTAAAGGGCCGCACATACTTCACGCGATTTCAGTCGCGACGCGATTTGGCACTATTCCAACTGTCCACTGTCCATAACTCACTGTAAGCACATTTTTAATGTACAGAAAATAGGGTATTTTATCAATCCACTTAAGTCATACACACCTTGCATGTGCAGTTTGCTAGTGTTGGATCTGAAGACTTCTGGCGAATTGCCAAATCGCGTCGTGACGAAATCTCGTGAAGTATGCCAGGCCTTTAAGAAATATCGAGCTACTAATTTTGATGTGTATATCTCGACGACGGTGAAAAAAAAAGTAATTTATGGAAAAATTATATGACTATGAGAGGTTACGTTTCTTATAAAAGGTTGCTCTGGTGCAACCTGGAAGCACTAAGGTTGCGGAGACTAAGCATAAGCATAACTTTCCCCTTTCCTCACAAAATATGCGATTATTTCTGCACAGTTTTCTTAGTTCAAGCTCTGACTATGACCATTCACCGCTGTACTTCTACAAACACTACTGAGGGTATATCGCAATATACTGCGATGTCAAGAGGAATTTCGTTTTTAAAGTTCAAAGCCGCCTCCTTGAGACCTTTACGGGTGCCGAGTAAAACTAAATGAGACCGTACATGTGCTTCTCAGGCTCAAAGACAATTTTGTGCAATACTTAGAGACAGTCTCACGACCTGTGGACGTGAAAAAAGTGCGAAGCCATATAGTTTTGACATCCTCGCACTTAGACCTAGCAAATTGCCTCTATCTATTGAGCTTCGAATTGTGGTAAAACCAGCAGGGCCCTCAATAGATCGCTTTAGAACGACATAAAAACCTTGTTCCCTGTAGACCCGTGGTGCGAAGGTGGATTGCTTGTGTACTTTTATCTCGTCAGAAATATTGAGAGCGTGAAACAAATTAGATCTTTTCAGACTTAAAAATCAAGTGAGACTGAGCAACTCTGCGGAAAACTTCGTTTATAGGCAACTTCGTGTCTTTTGGGAGTAAATCCTTGAAACCTTACGTTTTTATGATGCGCATCTCAACTTGTCACAAAAAAAGAACAGGAGGTCCAAAGACAGCGCTTGAAAACTGTCCTGATAAACCGTCAGTTTTTTTTGAAATTCCTCAAAGTAACGATTTCACCAATTGATAAGCCTCACGGAGCCGCACAGAGTTCTTGAAAACCTTGGGATTAGCTTGTATGAACGTCTTATCATAGAAGCTTGCTGGTTTTTACAAACGTATAATGACAGCTGTCAGCATTTCATCGACAGAACCTTAACAGAAGTTGGTAAAGTCTTTATCAAGATCTAAGTCGACGATAGGCCGAGAGTACAAATACAACCACCCACATGATGAAATCTGGCACAGTTCTACGAGAAGGCAGCCTGTCCACTTCGCGCTAGTTTATGTTTCTTTTTCACGTCTTTAGCTGACAAAGAATATTCCGCTACAATTCTGTCAAAATTCTTCCAATTCAATATACAGAGTGTCTCAAAAGTAAGTACACACTTTTCAATCGCTAATATCTCCTTTCCCGTTGTGTCTTTTTCCGCCATTTGATCACCATTCTGTAGAGGAGGCTTCAACTTAGATATGCAATGCCGAGCGAATTACAACCTCTCTTCATTTCTGTAGGATTACTGTAGGAACTTGGACAAGCATTTTAGGCCATTGGAAGCCGTATTCTGCCTCGGAACAAATCGAACAAGCCAAAATCCTTTATACTATGGTAATGGAAGCCGCTGAATTCGAATATAAATTTCCATTTTACTGTGATGCTTCTTTCAAAGTTATCCCAGATAAACCGTAATAACCAAATTCCCAGTATTTGTCAGAAATGTGATCACACGGTCAAAAAGGCTGAAAACACTCGTAGAAAATTGTATAGTGGAATCAGCGTGCGCGAAAACCCTAGTACACGGTTTTTCAGATTTGTTGAAAAAAATTGTGATGGATGGCATATGTCACTATGGTTCCACATGATGGAAGTTCTTACCGTGATCTCACAGTAAGGAAGAGCGACCGGTGATTCGATCGGTACCGCAAATCTAAGTTGAAGCCTCCTCTACAGAATGGTACTTGAATGGCAGAAAAAGACAAATTGGGAAGAAAGATATTGACGATTGAAAAGTGTGTACTGACTTTTGATCACTCTGTATACTTGATTTCTGAGTAAAATGCTTTTGGCGTTCTCAGGGTCTTATTCCTTGTATAATCCATAGAAGTCTCTGTTACGGGACCATAATTGGGCTCGATTTAGAATTTTTCCCTGAATGCGTTTCAGCATTCTTCACGTCCATTAAGCACAAACAGCCGTTCTTATTGAATCGAGTTCGTGTTTTGAGGAGCATTTCTTACAGGGGAAGCAGTCGAAGTAGCCTTTCTAAAACTCATACTGCTTTGGAGAGTATTGTACAGTGATTCCAAATCTGTCTTTTGAATCTGCTAAGTGCCTCTGAACGGCGAGTTATGGGCGTTTTTCAGGCCAAAAAATTGAATGCAAAACGAACAAAATCGCTGAAAATTTGCTCAGATGATCTAATGTCAAGAATCAGAGACGTTTATGCAATGGATACATTTTGTCTAGTATACTTAATACTGCTTTCACGCTTTCCTTAACACGCTTTCCCTGTTAGTACCCCTCATAATTGTTAAACTTGTAGCCTGGAAATTTGCGATGTTGTACAGCAAAACAAAGAGACGTATTAGAAATTTTGTATATACCCTATTTTCCGGCTATAAGCCGCAATTATTTTCGTTGCGCGCGAGCTGATGCGAGATGATGATCGCGATGTGCGAAGCCGCGCAAGCAGCCAACTACCACCTGTTTTACCTAGTAGCCTGATTGTAACTTTCTGCTTTGGCTCTTTCTTGTGGAAGCATTGAAAGCACCATTGAAACATTAACATCATCATCAACAATCATTAAAATCGAAAATAAAATAGCAGCAGCTTTAACCTCAGTAATATCTTTAAAATCAAAAGAAAAACGGTCAATTCCATTGTATCTTTGCGGAAAAAACACAACCCAAACACCCCAAAATCGTCCCAATCTCCGGAAAGAATAAAGAAATATCTGAAAACGTGAACATGCGCAATGAAAAGCAGTCACAAAATGCAGCGAGTTTTCAGTTGTTAGATCAAAACTTTCTTTTCGAAGGCTCTTTCGCGCCATTGTTCGCTGCGGCGGGTGCGGCTTATATAAGGTGCAGCTTATAAACCGGAAAATAGGGTAAATGCGAATACCTACAAATGCAATACTTTTATCAGGCTTTTTCCCAAGTACAGTTAGAAGTAAAAAATAGCGAAGTTGAGATGACATTCGGTTGCAGGTCCCATTTACGCAGGAGCGCCTTTGAAAATAGTACCATGTATGTCCCTCTAAAATACAGGATGTACCAAGAGTATGTAACACTGTTTGTTTAGTCGTTGACATCTCCCTTCCTTAGAAGTCTTTTGCCTACCTTCGGTTACCATTTTGTAGAGATGGCTTCCATAGATTTACAGTATTGAACAAATCATCGGTCTTTTTTTCGTTAGTGTAGGATTACGGAAGGAACATCAAAAAGGATTTTGAGATTACAACAAAAAGCTCTACAAACTCCTAAAAGGTAAGTAATGAAACCAGCAGGCAGAAAATCCCTGAACCACTTTCCAGAATTTTTAGAAACTTTTTTTGAAACACGGCTAAACCGCTACGACTCTATAGGCCAAAATTTCTTACCGTAATACTACAGTATTGAAGAGCGATTGGTGATTTGCTGCATACTGTAGAATCTAAGTTGAAACCAGCTCTACAGTTTAGACTAAGCGAATGCCAAGCCCTTGAGATAAAGACCCTTTTTGCTATTAATCGGTTTATGACATTTTTGTAATATAATCTGTAATGTAATCTTTTCCGATAGGGACTGGTGATGTGTCAAAAAACGACAACAGTTTGCTTAGGAAAAACCAAAAAGAACCAATGTACATAAAAGGTTTGCCGGGGCAAGCAAATGCCCCATGTGATATAGTGGAAAAAACCATGTAATTATTTGTTTATGCCTTACGCGTTCGCATACAGCACTGATTCATCAATTAGCTTCACTCTTCTGTGGCTCATTGTACGAATATAGCGATGTCAAAAATTCTAATCACGGTTTGGCAACAGTTTTTGGAAGCTTTGGTCTACAAAGTGGAGCGAACAGTTCCGCTATATTTTGAAAGGGAAGACGCTACAGTCACGCCTAGAAGAGTTTCCATGAATAGCATGTTGACATTCGCAGCATCTTTACCTCTTTTTAGGAGCTGGTCCTAGAGAAAAATATTTTCTAGATTTTTTCGAGAACACTGCTTCGCATCCAAGCTGCCTGTTGCTACCAAGTAAGGTCTACCCTTACCTCGCAGGAAGCGGTACGATGCTATAAGGTGAACGGATTGAAATGCTTACTATCAACGTACATAGGAGACTACTTGTGGGAAACGTCGGGTGTTATAAAAGATATTCACCAGTAAAACTCTGTTACCAATAATATTGCTGACAACTTCTACAGTTTGAAAGCTAAAAAGCGTGTGTTACTTTCCATACATTTGCAAGATCTTTTTTCCCAAGTTCCTGTGTATGCTTTCCTCCCGTGAACCCTTTTTTAATTTTGGAGTTACATGCGCTCAAATAAGAAACTACAACTTGGAAATCTTCCCCTACTCTTCTTGCGCTGTTCATAAAAAAATATCCTGATTTAAAGATATCTGCATAATGATTGCTATATTTTGTGTAGCGAGAGTTTTCAAAAACGAAACACTCTTCAATATATGAAGGAAGAAAGGATGGAAGAGATATTTGCAAAAAGATAACGGAAAATTTCCGCATAATTTTGGTTAGTTTGGTTATTTTGGTTAATTCTGGTTCACACCAAGCGCTAATTTCTAGAATTTGAGACAATCTTGTTTGACCGCTTGCAGATAAATTAAATCATAGAACCTAGCATAACTTTTTTGATATACTGTTGTATACTGTTGAGTTGATATGGCAAACCATAGGCACGAATTCACAAAGAAATCTTCAAGCACGAGTGGAGCAAAGATAATGAATGAATGCCCATGAAATGCGTCTGATGGCTCTCTCGAAAGAATATGTGGTCAGAAACGCCTGCGGATGCCTGACTCAAAAATCTAATCTCTGGACTGACTTTGCAGGCTTAAAGCTACCGGCAGCCCTTGTGGTTTATCAAAAGTAGGGATAAGGACTTGAACAATACATGCAAGCTAAGTGTATGAAAGTAAATATTTTTCAAATGGTTTCTTTAATGCTATTTATGAACGAAACTCACTGCAAACACTTTGATGAAGAGATTGCTGAGGTTGCTCTAATGAAAAGTAAAGCATTACCGATCAAAAAAAAAAAGCCGCAGTGGTAGCCTCAGTGGTATGAGTGCAAATTTACTTCTGGGCCAATTAGATCGGCCTCGGTGAAGGTAGAAAACATTCGCTTGTTGTTGAGTAGAATATTAATTGTAGATTTTCCAATAAACGATAAAAAATGTTTGCGTTACACTCGAGTAATTGGATGTAGAATAACTTTTGCCTAGGCTGGCAAAGCCTTGGATTATAAAAAGAAATTGAGATCAGCACATTGCATCAGGGTTGTGGACGTTACTGAACTGTGATTAGCATTTTGGTTAAAGTTAGGGAAGGGAAAGATCTTTTTTTGACGAAAAAAACCTCAACGAGTAAGGGACGCAGGCGTCAATTTTTGTACCATGTTTTGGAAATAAATTTACAAGGGCAAAATCAAGGGAGGGTGATAGTAGTTTTGTTCACTTTGGAATACGTTGATATTATTGTTAGCAGATTACTTCCAGGGCTCGGCACGAGGTCGGCAAATGACAAGCTGGAAATCGTTTTGGGGCCAAAAAGCAAAGGGGAAATTGTTTTTGCGGGGTCCGGGGCGGAGCCCCGAAAAAAAAATTGGTAGTTCATGCTCGCTACTTATCTTGACATGTTATGTGCCTCAACAGGCGAACACTGGAGTTCGCGCGCGTCAAACCGCGCCGTCGCTAATTGCCGCACGCGCGACGTCGCCCAAGCGATGCTATTTGTAACAGCATACATGACTAGTTCTCAATGTATGTGCAACGATATGACACCAAATTTTGTATGCGAACGGAAAGAGGCTAGTGGAAACATAGTATGAAAAATTATGAAAAACTTATGTGAACGGAACGAGTAATTAGCATTTTTTCCGAGAATTTCGCAAAACTGGTAAATGAAGATGTGAATTCAAACGGCTCGTTTAAACGCGCAGATGAACGATATGGTATGAAACTTGGTAGGTACATGCACACGGGCTTGCAGGGCTTAACTGAGGAGTTTCGTTGAAAAATTATGTGACTGAAGGTTGTGGCAAACTTTTTTCTGAAAATTTTGCGCTACCAAAGAAATGGAAAAATGGCTCGTTTGCAACGCAGAGGTAACGAAATCGCGCGGGATTCGGTGTGTATATGCGCAATAGGACTAAGTAATAAAGTATGAAATATTATGAAAAACTTATGTGAATGAAGAGCGTGCTTAACTAATTTCAAATTAGGTCGGCATTTGCCGACCTAATTCCCACCTGAGGTCGGCAAAACTCTCAATTCACATAATTTTTTCAAAATTTTTACATAAATCTGTTGTACACCTAAAGTTTACTACATGGTGAGATTTTGTTTCCCAAACTCCTCCTCTTGTCCTTGTTAGAGCCCAAAATCGCATCAGCAGCCTAGCTTTCTAACATGGAAAGCGCGCCCCAGTCAATCGATACGCGCGGGAACGGCGTCTCTCATTCCTATGACTGCGTTTCTTTGATATTTTCTCATTCCTTAATCATTTTTCTTGCTTATTTTTCTTCCTGTTTCCTATCTTGATACAGCTGAGGAGTAAGTTGAGGAATTTGAGCAATTTGGGCGCTTTTGAGCGCTTTTAGGCGAAGTGTGGCCATTTATCTCGTCGCACAAACACAAAACGTCATTTTTGGGCTCAAGGGGGTATTCGTAAAATTTATTGGGATCAAAGGGGAATTCGTTTTGGAAAACCCGTTTGCCCACCCCGTGCCGGGCCCTGATTACTTCGAAAGAATAGGGGAATTTCCAATGATGCCTTAGTAAAAAAAATGGGTAGGACGACCTCGTCGTCTTGGAAATTGAACTTTGAAGCGTGCTATTTTGTTTGTTGCTCATTAAAAGCTTTGGTAATGCGAAAGCAATTTTGTACCACTTCTTGTAGAATTAGGCGGGAGATTGTGGAGGTGAAGAAAAATTCCCAATTGAATGCTCAGTAGTCGAAGTAGCAAATTTCGATAAGCTGGACATAGTTAGTGTCCCATGGAATATGCTGAACGCTCCTCCACTGCGAGGTAGGGACACGTGTTCTCAACTTGTTCCGCTAAACATATTACAAAAAAGTCTGCTCGAAGATAAACAAGATAGATGGATGGCGCAGAATGAAAAAAAACTCGTAAGGAAGCCAGAGAGTTCATCTTCTACACGTCCCTCGACTGGTCGGTCATTTTGACCGCTCTTCCCCACCCTACCGGACATCGAACCCCTTGATCCAGGAAGCCCCGGAACAGCAGGATCAAGTATGTTCCACCCCAACAACGACTGTCCACACATCGAATTCAACGTGAGACGCCTGCCAAACGAAGACCATCTACATGAACTGCAAGAAGCCCTGAAGAGAACACATTCTCGATATATTGGTCCTAACGAGATGGAGAGAAAGAAGAAGCTTGGCACTTGCAATTGGCAAAGAGTAAGATCACTCACGTTAAAAGAATGGATCAGTTTGTTTGGGTGCCTCATATTGTAATAATATGAAAGGCAAATAAATCATAAGGAAGCCAGATAGCTCGGTTTTTCCGCTTTTGGTTCTGCAATTTGTATCAAACATCAGTGATGTCAATGCAAAGCTTACGGCACAGAAGTGGCGATCAAACTTATGAAGACATATATCCATCAAAAGTTCATATTTCCTCTTTTCCTTTGGTCTGGAAAATGAGATTGTTTGAGACAATAAGAATGGAGGTTTCAAAAAGGTGCAAGAAAACGGCAAGAGTTTAGTCACTACGGTTGTTCGAACCATGCTTTAGTCGCTTTTTGAAGGAATGGCTTGGCACTGAATGATTTTCAGTATTCTTATGGCCTTTCAGATGCGCTGAGTCCAGGAATTTGCTGGTTGGTTGGTGGTCATTAATGATCTCTCAACGTTTTCCGGCCTTGGAAATTGCTGAACTGGGAGGAGGAAAGCCCCGCCATGAGGAGCGATTGGCTGATTGAGCCAGTAAGTCATTTGCCAACGGGTGGAGCGGCCCGCACATAACAGTTCCCTGCACCCATCGCAATTTTGGTGACGAGTCTCTCCTCCAGCCCACTCAGCACTCTCCAAGGCCGAAAAGGGACATAAAACCCAACTTTAAGAGATCTTGAGGGTAAACTGTGTAAAAACTGGTTTCATGCACAATCAAATAAACACCTCAGCTTGAAAGACTTTGTAATTTTGAGTTTTTCTCATTGCCATTTGCATGACTGACTTATCGGATGTTGCTCCTGCTTTCATAAAACGGCGTTTAACCAACAATTCAGAGTGCGTCAATCATGTTCCTGTTCTTTGCATGGATTTCATTGGCGAACGCTTTCATAAACCCGACCAGCAATGAACTGATTTCAAAGTTTGTTTCTTGACTTAACAGTCACTTGGAGATATTAGATTTGCAGGAGCTTGAATGGAAATTGTGGTTCTCCTGACCTCAGATGTTCCAACGAAGGTTAGCAGAAATATCTTACGGGCCCCGTAAAATCGAATTGCCCACGCGTCGTTTTGAATGCCAACACGCGGCGCGGCTGGAAACGTTTGGTCCCGAAGCGCTACAGGCTTTTTGCGGGCGACAGTGAGCGCGCACCCTTTCCAAACATATTTTTCTAAACTTTTGAAGGGAGCTTTCGTCAAGATATACCTTGCACTGACGAGAACAACATGAAAGTTAAAGAAAGATTTCTTGGAATATACTGAACGCTGACAGTCGTTCGCGACGACCGCTCGCTTGCGCTGGTGTTCAAGGCACGGCGCGGGCAATTAGGTTTTACGGCGCCTATACCTTTATGTAAAGGCTGAGATGCAAAAGCTTTTCAAAATTATCAAGAAGCGGATAACTGTTTAATATACAGCTTTTGCACTACTGCCAACAAGGGAACGATCTTAACTTAAAGGCAGTGTCCCACCAGACTGAGGGTATCTGGCTCCCGTAGTCATGTAATAGTAGACCCCCTACCTAATCGATGTCTAAAGTTCGGAGCGAAAAAGGGGGTCTACTAAGCCTAAAATTTGCTCCGAAAGTGAGCCGAATCTTACGGTAGGGCCGAATGCCGCCCACACAGCAATATCGATTGCCAGGCCAGAGTGCGTATAGCGCACACAGTCATGAGCGCAGGGACCCGCAACACTCTGCGTCTCTACCTTGCATCCATCTCGTAATCGTCCGAGCCTACCGTAAGATTCGGCCCACTTTGGGAGCAAATTTTAGGCTTGGTAGACCCCCCTCTTCGTTCCAACTTCAGACATCGATTAGGTAGGGGTCTACTATTGCATGACTACGAGAGCCAGATACCCCAGTCTGGTAGGATACTGCCTTTAAGGTGGCAAACTGAAATGAGTTGCTTATCATTAGATACGATGAGCTGTTTCCAAATCTAATCCACTCCAAATTCCAAATATATCTAGAAAAAAGTTGTCCTGAAACAAGGACTAGAAAACGAGCACTATTTCTCCATCAACCTAATACCTTCAATATCTGCGATGCGTTCTTTGGACAACGTTATGAGCGTTCGAATGCCCAAATTTGGCAAACATTCAGCGTCATACCAACAATCAGTTTTGAAAAAAAAACTTATTCATGTTCCGGTTCAATGTGAGCAGTCTTCGAAATTGGTACATGCTAGTCATGCACTTCCAAGGCACATTAAGCATTAAACCCCACTCTTGCAGTTTCAACCCGCTTGAAGCTTTTTAGAGAATCGCATGCATAATGGAAGGTAGATTTGGAATCAGCTCATCAAGACGCATCTAATGATAAGCGATATTTCAGTTCGCCACCTTAGGTTGAAATCGTTCCCTTAAAGTGATATCAGCTCAAATTGTCGTATAATGCTCTGATCAAAATTCATAAACACCTCTTACAGAATCAAAGACCTATCTGTGGGAATACAAAAGAGAATGCCAGTGGTTTTCGAGAAAAGCAAAAATGGCAGTATGGCTTTATGTTTGCTCTGCAGCTAAGTGAACTCAAACCCTTCCCCTAAGCTATTCCAAACTACGCATTTAGAGTCGTTTTATATTATCACGCAGTCCTAGTTGCATTGCAAGCGTTTTGCGCCTTTTCAAAACGCGAAATATTTGCAAAAATTCTGCGTAAGACAACAGCATTATGTGCAAAATAAACTATCCCAAACACACACATACACATACACATACACATACACATACACATATACACATACACATGCACATACACATACACGCACATAAACATACATATACACATACACTTACACATACACATACACATACACATAAAGGCTACTGCATGACGAAGGCGCGATAGCAGTAATAGTTGAGCGGGCGCGAACTCGGCGCGCGCGTATCTTCAATGTTGTAAATCCTGCGCCTTATGCGCTCTGCGGCTAATGAAGCGCGTTCGCGGCCAAAGGTATTGCGCCTTCGTCATGCAGCAGCCTTCACACATACACATACATATGCACATACTCACACACAAACAGACATATTCAGATTTATGTATGAGGTTTTCAAAAACAACTAAAACGTGAAAATCTTGAAGAAGGGAGGTGGATATTATCTGCACATAAAGTTTCCTCTAGAAAACACCCTAATTTTATGAGTATAGGACGCACCTGTTTTTTTTCTGAATTCGACCAGCCAGAGCACACAAAGAAATTTCGCGACCAAGGGGCCCTAAACAGTGCTGCGTATTGCATGAGAGTATCATATGGCATAAGTTTTGTTTTCCGAAACAGCGAGGGGGGCTGAGTGGCTTCCTCGAAAAGTCGAAAAAGGTGAGTCTTTTACTAGTAAAATTACTCAGATAATCGCGGGGGCAGGCTTTTCGCAAACTCGCGCTTTTCTGCAGGCCGTCAGCAGAAGTTTGGGGCGTGGTCAAACCTTCAGCGGGCGGCAATTCCTTTACGGTTGCATCTGCCGCCGGGCAGCAATACGGCATTTTTTGCAAGCGCTCGGCAAATAATTTCTTTCAGCGAGCGCTGGCCAAACTTTCAGCAAGCTCAGCTCGGACTCTTTTTACGCAGTCTCGGGCGAACGCCTAGCAAAGGTAAACTTCATATAGCAGAGGTGTCATCGTTGGTTTAACTACCCGAGTGGGGTACCTTCTTTCAGGGAAAGGTACCCTGGGCAGTGCGGTCCTTCACAAAGGATCGTGCGACCCCCAACAATTTTGCATATTCTCGCGGAAAGTCCGGCCACTAAGCCGCAACTTATCCTTGGAAAGACCGCAGTAGTTTTTCGAGCGTTCGTCTAAAAATTGGCCAAACTTATTCAAAATTTCTGCAAGCGGACCGCAAGAAATTAGCGAACTATTTTTGCGGCTCCCGCTTGCTCAAAATTCGCATGGCCGCCTGCCCCCGGCGATTATCTGAGTAGGGTACATGCTTGAGGAAGTTGGAGACTTCTAGAGTTTTTTGCACAAAGATAAAATCGCTGTGTTTTGAATCTTTGGTTTTGGCTCTCTACTTCACGTGAATCGAACATCTTGCTGTTGTTTATTGTCTTATGAAACTTTGAATAGTATGCTTCTTACAGTGGTGTACCGAAAAAGGAGGGGAGCGGGGGTGGGACGCCCCTTGCGAGATTGGGTCGCGAAATTTTTGAAAGTTACTTACATGAGTTATGAAAATGCGCAAGTAACTTGTTTATACTTGTAAATAATTGAAACAATTTTGAAATCTTTTAGAAACTTAAATTAGCCTTATGAAAACCTTTTTTTCGGAGGCGTGGCCGTGGCCACGCACCTTATCCGAAATTTTTTTTGTCGCGCTCCCTTCCCGGGACGAAAATCCTGGGTACGCCGCTAATTTCCTACTTTTTCTTATCTTCCATGCCGTGATAGTACAATCAATGTGCATCAGTTATGAATCCAAAATACTACTTTTTCGTCAAACCTTGAGCTGAAGAGCAGTTGGTGGTCAAAGTGCAATAACGTGCGTTTGCAAAGATTAGAAGCTAACAAAAATTCTTTTCTTTTCGATATACCCTAATTTCACGCGTACAAGGCGCACCTTTTTCGATTTTTCGACTAAGCCCCTCAGCCGCTTTAAATTATTTCGGAAAGCGATCCTCATGCCTCATGCCGTACGATTTTCTTAAGCAATATACAGCAAGGCATAGGGTCCTTTGGTTGCGAAGTTGTTTGGCGGATATGGGCTGGTCGATTTTGGAAAAAAATCCCCCGCGCCTTGTACGCGTGAAATTAGGGTAATGCTTTAGTGCACTTAGCAACTTAATTGTAGCCGTCAAGCGTGATAGCATAAAATCTTGCCGGTCATTCATCCACACTATCTTTCAGCATGTCCTGGGCACTGCGAAAGTACTTGGACTTACTTTGATAAAACTGAAGCCTGCTATAAGGTATGCGGTAAATTGTTTCTGACAAGATTATATTAGGTCGCACCGAAAGTTCTGTCGTTTCATTTTTGGAAAATCATAACTTTGCGCTGTCACAACGGATTTACTCCCTTACATTTTTATTAGAAAGAGTAAATCTTTCGCTTTCGAATGCTGTTTTGCATAGCTTGCGCTTCACACTGGGTGCGGAGAGAAAAATGGAAAACTAAGACCATATAAGCTTTGACCATTTTAAGTTAGCTCACCAAAAATCTGGAATGCTGCAGAAAAATTTGAAATCGTCAGTACATATGTTTTTTGGCCTACCCTTGCATCTGTGAAAAGTTTGTGCCGTTTGGACGTCTCTGTGAAAAGTTATGAATATCGAGTTTACTATGGAAAACACCAAAATTAATTAATTCGCCAATTTCAGCGAAAATCATAACTTCTCACAGAGACGTCCAAATAGCACAAACTTTTCACAGATGCAAGGGTAGGCCAAAAACATATGTACTAGCGATTTCAGATTTTTCTGCGGCATTCCAGATTTTAATGAGCTAAATTAAAATGGTCAAAGCTTATATGGTCTTAGTTTTCCATTTTTATCTCCGCACGTGTGAATCGCGAGCTCCGCAAAACAGCATTCGAAAGCGAAAGATTTACTCTTTCTAATAAAAATATAAGGTGGTAAATCCGTTGTGACAGCGCAAAGTTATGATTTTTCAAAAATGAAACGACAGAATTTTCGGTACGACCTAATATTAGGTCGGTGCAAAAATTGTTTCTGTTTCATAGACCAATGCGCAATCCCGTAGAGTGAAGGTAGACAAGTTTCAAAGTATACGGTGAAGAATCTCTTCCCCTTTCCAACAGCTTTGTTTCAGTGCAACCGTCTGGAAGAGCGCTGAGATAACACCGAAATTCACGAGCCTTCTTTTCTGCCATGTCCAAATTTTGCTAATTTATTTACATGGGTTATAAAAATGTGCAAACGACTTGTTTACTCTTGTTAATAATTAAAATAGTTTTTAAACCTTTTTAAAAATCCAATTTAACCTTTCAAAATAATTTCCTCGGGGGCGTGGCTGACGCCATGCCCCCTTTTTCCAGATTTTAGGGGTTGGGTGCCCCGCAAAAATTTTGAGAAGCACCCCAAAAATTTTTCGAAGTGCGTGGCTAACGTCACGCACCTTCACTGGAAAAATTTTTTGGCCCTCCTCGGACGAAAACCCTGGGATGGCCACTGGTAGAATATAGATATACATAAAAAGAGTGCCCCAAAAATTTACCTACTGTTTAGTTGTAAATAACTCTCTGTAAAAGTGTTTCGAGAAGCTTTAGGTACCATTTTGTAGAACGACGTTGAACTTAGATTTACAGTATTTAGCGAATTATCGATCGCTCTTCAATACTGTAGGATTAAGATACGAACTTCGACAAAAATTTTAGGCCATTGAAGGCTATATTCTGCTTCGGAACAAAAGCAAACAAGCCAAAAACTTATACTAAAACAACGGGAGCCGCTGATTTCGAGTTTGAAATTCCCATTTTATGTGATGCTTCTTTCCTAAGTTATCCTTGGTAAATCGTACTCAATTCCCAGCATTTGTCAGAAATGTAATAACACGCCAAAAAAGCTGAAAAACTTGTAAAAAGTTCGCGATCGATTCCATCTTGTATCGGGGAAAAAGTCGGAGCCCGTTTTTGTTCAATAGTGCAGCCAGCGGTACGTGATATTCACAGAGGTCTCTTCGGCACTTCTTGAGACTTCGTCTTCTTTCGGCTTCTTCAAGTACTTGGCTTTCCTGTGCTTTCTGAGATCTTCTTGCAAAGCTGTTCTGCAACTGGCGTTGGCTATCAGTCGCTCGAGATGGGTTGCATCCGGATACTGCCCCAGAAATCTTCTTCTTTTGAGCCATTCCTTGGTGGTCTTCGAAATGCGCTTCAAGTTCTTCTCAGAAGTTACTGAGGTGCACTCTCCGCAGACTCGCAATCCTTTCAGAATCCGGTCGTAGTCGTACGTTGGGTCCTTCTCGATGGGCCAGTCACAACTTGATATGAGCTTCTCCAGCCTGTTACCGTCAACATTCTTCCTTCTTGCGGCACTGTGGCAGACCTTCTTTTCCAGCTTTCGGCTGAATCGTACCTTCGCTCGAAGAAGGAGGTGATCGCAGCCACTGCAGAATGATGGGACTTTTGAGACATCGAGCAAGCTCCACTTTCGGTTGGTGAGAATGTGGTCGATCTCCGCGTGAGTTGTTCCGTTGGGCGATTCTCATGTCCACCGGCGATGTTCTTTCTTTATGAAGATAGAATCTCCTTGGAAAAGTCGTTAAGCGGAGAGAAGCCCAACGAGACGGTTCGTTTCCTGTAGAGCGATGATGTGGTACTTGATGTGCTCCGCAGCGTCGAGAAGAGCGTGAAGGTCGTTTTGTAGAAACTGTCCTTGTGCTGTAGGTGCAGAGCATGAGGCAGTCTCTATAGTAGTTCGTCGTCCGGGCAGACGTGTCGTTTTTGTCCGATCCAAAAGGCGCCCTGAGGACCCTGACATCTTCTTGCTACCACCCGGCGTCGTAGGTGGGATCCGATGTGCAGGGTTTCTTTCTATTCTTCTAACTGGTAGAGTGATGAAATTTTTCCCTACAAGAGCAGACCTACTAAGCCTAATCCTGGTTCCCACGGGGCGATCGCTGATCCCGGGCTTGGGGCGGGAAGAACCGCCTAGCGACCAAAAAACCAGACGGCAGTGGATCTGGCCTGGCCGGCTCTTAGCTAAGCATCCGGCCGAAACCGGAAACGTCGAACTCCCTCACAGTTTGGAAGGCTCTGCCACAGTATACACTCGGCTGTGCATCGCAGTTCGACAACCAGTGTCAGCCCCACGCCACGATGAGGCGGCCGCCATTGTGGGGGATATACATACAGGATGTCCCAAAAAATGTGAACCTGTTTGATCATTAATAACTCTCTTGCTTTCATGTCTTTCGCCGGGCTTAAGGCACCATTCTGTAGAGCGAGGTTCTACTTAGATTTGTAGTATGGAGCGAATCACCGATCGCTCTTTATTACTGTAGAATTACGGTATGAACTTCTAGCATGTGAATCCATTGTGAAACATGCCATTTGACAAAATTTTTTTCAAAAAATCTGAAAAATCGTGTACTAGGGTTTTTGCGCACACTGATTCCACTACACAACTTTTTATGACTGCTTTTAGCTTTTTTGACGGTGTAATCACATTTCTGACAAATGCTGGAAATTCAGTTATTACGGTTTACCTTGGATAACCTTGGAAAGAAACATCACAATGAAGCGGAACTTTCATATTCGAAATCAGCCGCTTCCATTACCATAGTACAAAGGTTTTTGGCTTGTTTGGATTTGCTCCGAGGAGATTATGGCCTCCAATGGTCTAAAATCCTTGTCGAAGTTGGTACCGTAATCCTACAGTAATGAAGGGCGATTGACGATGCGCTCCAAACTGTAGATCTAAGTTAATCCTCGCTCTACAGAATGGTGCCTAAAGCTCGGCGAAAGATTTGAAAGTAAGGGAGTTATAAACAATCAAACAGTGTTCACATTTTTTTGGGACACCCTGTATATTAGGTCGTTCCGAAAGTTCTTTCCGTTTTTCAATTTATCATAAAAACTAATAGAACAATAATAGGCGTACGTTCCAAACACTATCCGACGCAGCTTTTCTTCCTTTTTTTTCAAAAGTTATCTCATGTGCTGGTCACTCTCATGGTAATTGAGATAATCGCCGAAATTTCGGACCCTGGTTTTTACCATGTCCAAATTTGGCAATTTTTCAAATCTTCTTTTTTGTCTTTTGGAAAAGCTTTGATAGCAGTTAGATAGCGTTAACAAAGTGCTATATAATGCAATTTTTCGGAGTTTATATCTGGCCTTGAAAAATTTCTGGAATTATTTTTCTGATGCTATCAAATTCCACTTCTGGTGATGCCAAAAGCTGTAGAACTTAAAACGACGCACATAAAGTGTCATTCGATGCAGCTTCTTCCCCTCTTTCTGATAAGTGTTTTTTCTTCCCAATTTTTAGGGTTTTGGCGATGAAATTTTCAGAATTCTTGATTTTGAACCCACCTTAGATTATACACGTAAAATGCGAAATTTCATATTTTGAAGCGGTAAAGGCTCATTTACTTTGTAAAATTAGTGGATGATCGCAATCAACTTTTGCAAGTTTCAAATTCCGAAGATTTATTGATGTTCGGAGCGTTTATGTATTTTGTGACTTCGAAAAAGTGAAGATTTCTGGAAAAGCTGTTTTAAAAACACTGAAAAGCCAGTTGAAATTGCCAAAAGATTGCATTGCATTGAATTTTGTTTACTCTATATGACTTCTATCAAACCTTTCTCAAGAGTTAAAAATAAAAATTGTAAAAAATTGCCAACTTTGGACATGGTAAAAACCATGGGCTCGAAATTACGGCCATTATCTCAGTGACGACAAGAGTAAGCGGCATAAGGATATGACAGTTAAAAAGAGAAAGAAAAGGTAGGTCGGGTAGTGCTTGAAGCGTTTCCATATCTTCGTTTTATGTGTTCTCATGGTAGGTTAAAAAACGGAAATTTCGGGGCGACCTAATATTAGGTTGTCCCGAAAGTTTTGTCCGTTTATTTCATCGCTCACTAAAACTCATAGAACACCAAGTAGATTTTTATCCTTTGTCTTACACTATCCTTGCTCTCTGATCTACCCTATCTTCGCATTGTTATCGTCATGGATCTTTGAGCAGCTTAGCAGTAACGTCCAATTTTTCTTGAATTTCAAAAATTTTTATCCTGGTGTTTTCAAGGAGCATCGGTAACTGATATGTAGAGCAAGCCTTTGGCTACTTGTACTCATTTTAGGTCATGGGCCACGTTTACCAAGTCGGTTATAATTATTTATTTAATAGAAATTGCAGCTTTTTGATGACGTTTACCGCGTAAAAAAACGAAAATTCCAAAAGGCTGCTTTTTCGAAGCAAGTCAAACTCGATTATGTTGCATAAGTAATGTTTAATGAGAATCATGTTTCAATTCGCAGAAACTTTGAAAGCTTTCATGTATTTGCTGCAGTTGCGTGTTTCATGATTTTGCCAAAAGTCGAGACCTCGGAAGAGATAATTTTTTTGAAACTAAAAACAGAAGTTCAGAAGATCATAAAAATATTACCTTGTAGTCCGGGGCTGCTCTATTTGATCCATACTTAACTCTTTCCGAAAGTTTAGAATGAGATTTTTGAAAATTTGCCTAATTTGAAGGAGATGAAATTGACGGGTGGAGAATTTTGGCAATTATTAGAAAAAACGTTCAAGATTTTGGTTCGTAAATGTATCCATAAAAAAGAAAAGGAAAAGCTGCATCGAATACATGTTGAAACTCATTCAGGTCGCGTGATTTTATAGTGGTTTGAAAAAACGGACAAAACTTTCGGAACAACCTAATACATATAAAGTGACCGCCAAAAAGTTGCAAAAGTCGCCCTCCTTTTTTCATCGTTCATTTTCAGAAAACAAAGATGAAAAAATGATTGGATTGCTGGTGGTAGAGCTCATCAAAAGCTACTACCTACACATCGCGCTTTCTGGAAAACATGTACTATAAAAATTTCAAAAATCTCTTTCTAAAAAAAGTCCGAAAATGGCCGCGTCACAATGTCGTGGACAATAATTCTTCAAACGCGAAAATTTTTTTTCAGGTTTTTTTCTTGGATCAAAAACAGTAGTTTTCCGCACAGGTAATCTCTATATATATAAAGCAGAAAATCTGTGAGTTTGTTTGTGAGCATTCGGGTGCAGGTTGTGCAGGTTGTGCAGGGTGTGCAGGGTGTTCACGGTGTGCAGGTGTGCAGGATGTGCAGGATGTACAGGGTGTGCGGGATGGGCAGGGTGTGCAGGGATGTGGAGGATGTGCAGGGTGTGCAGGGTGTGCAGGGATGTGGAGGATGTGCAGGGTGTGCAGGGTGTGCAGGATGGGGAGTTTAGACTGATAGATTGGCTCCAAACCGGAGTGAAACCCGGGATGCATGCTCGTCATACTATATTGTAGAGCTTATCGAGGACAATAATCGGGAGTGGTTATTTCCAAAAAACCCAGGCTTGAAATTTATTTTGCTTTTATTTTCAAAAAATGATTTCTAATTCCCTTCTTCAAGCCAAGTTTCTTCACTTGGAAGCCTATTCAAGACATACCAACAAGGCTATTTTAATGAAATGAATGCTCTTTGCCATCCTCTATGCATCGGACGTGAGCTGGTCAGCTTCTTTGCTGAAAATGGCTCTCGACAGTGCGTGCACACGACCTCACCTGCACCTCACCACTGACTTGCACCGCTTTGCAGGCTTATAGCTCAAACGGCAGTCATTCTACGAGCCTGCAGGTAGGCTCATTCGAAAGAGCATGACTTCCTCAACACATGGTATGCAAATGAATTAGTTAGAAAAATCCCGTAGATTTTACGGATGGGGTGCAGGGTCCGACACGAGGTGGGCAAATGACAAGCTGGAAATCGTTTTTGGTGGAAAAAGCAAGGGGAAAATCGTTTTTGCGGGGTCCAGGGCAGAGCCCCGGAAGAAGATTTCAAGTGCAGGCAAAAGAAGGTCGAATCATGCTTATTACCTTATACATCTAATCCACTGGGAAGTAGTTTTCATAAGCCTTAACGCACAGCAGAGTTCGCGCGCACTACGTCGCGATGCCGCTAATTGCCGCGTGCGCGACGTCGCATAAGACGATGCCGTTGAACAGCATGATTACATGATCAGTTCTCAATGTAGGCGTAACGATATAGTATCAAATTACTTAATCGAACGAAGAAAGGCTAGTAGAAACAAAGTATGAAATATTATGAAAAACTTATGTGAGTGGGAGGTGTAATAAGCATTATTTCCAAAAATTTTGCAAAACTGGTAAATGAAGATGTGAATTCAAATCTCTCGTTTGCAGCGCTCAGACAACCATACGGTATGCAACTTGGTAGATACATGAACACGGGCCTGAAGGGCTTAACCTATAAGTTTCATTGAAAAATTATGTGACTGAAGGTTGTGGCAAGCTTTCTCTGAAAATTTCCCACTATCAAGAAAGTGGGAAAATGGCTCGTTTGCAGCGCAGAGAAAACGAAATCGCGCGAGACTTGTTGTGTATACGCGCATTAGGACTAAGGAACAATGTGTGAAAAATTATGAAAAACTTATGTGAATGAAAAGCGTGCTCAACTATTTTCCAAATTAGGTGGGCAATTGCCCACCTAATGCCTACTGAGGTAGGCAAAACTTTCAATTCACATAAGTTTTTCAAAATTTTTACATAAATCTGCTGTACACCTAAAGTTTACTATATGGTAGAATTTCGGTTCTGAAACTCCTCCTCTTGTCTTTGTTAGAGCCCGAAATCGCATCAGCAGCCCAGCTTTCTAAGGAGGAAAGCGCGCTCCAGTAAATCGATACGCTCGAGAACGGCGTCTTTCAGTTCTATGACTGCGTTATTTTAATATTTCTTCATTCCCTCATGATTTTTCTTGCTTGTTCTTCCTCCTGTTTTCTATCTTGATACAGATGAGGAGTGATTAGAGGAATTTGAGCGTTTTTGGGCGTTTTTGAGCGTTTTTAGGCAAAGTTTTTAGGCCGGTGCTCTCGTTGCACAAGCACAAAGCATCGTTTTTGGGCTCAAGGGGGTACTCGTAAAAAATATTGGGATCAAAGGAGAATTCGTTTTGGAAAATCCCGTTTGCACACCTCGTGCGGGCCCTGGGGTGATAAAGCGTAGAGGTGAATGGAGTGCAGGCTCGTATTAACACTAGAACAGTCTCACAAGGGAATTCAGGTGGCAAACTGGAATGAGTTGCATACCATTAGATGCGTCTTGATGAGCTGATTCCAAATCTGTCTCTATTATCTGCGGCGCCGTTATCTGGGAAAAGTTATGAGCGGTTAAAAATGTGGAATCATTGGGGTTTTGATGCATATGCTTATAATATGATATGAAATCCAACTTGTAAGTGCACGACTAGCATGATATTGGGTGTACTGATTCCAAGGAATGTTCATATTCAAAGGAAAGACAAATAAGTGCGTTTGATAACCTAATTCTTGAGGTATGGTGCTGTATATTTGCCAAATTTTGACTTTTGTTGCTCACAGCTTATACCAAGGAACTTTAGTTGTTTTTTAGCTATTTAAAAATATTTATCTGTGTTTTCTTTGTATATGAGCATTCTTTGAAATCAGTACACTCACTACCATGCTAGTCGTGCACTTCTAAGCTGGATTTGAAGCATATTATGCATTAAAACCCCGATGACTTCAAGTTTTTAACCGCTCATAGCTTTTCCCAGATAACGGATTCGCAGATCTGGAAGGTAGATTTGGAACTAGCTCATCAAGACGCATCTAATGATATACCGTTCATTCCAGTTCGTCACCTTAAGTTGGAATCGTTCCCTCATTAGAGCTGCGAAATGGATTTACTACAAGAAAATTGACAGCTGGAACTTCTAGGATGGAACTGGTAGCGAAAGGAGCCATGTTCAAATTTAAATTTAATTTTTCAAAATCCTTAGCCTACCACTAAAGCTGCGATTTTCATCCCCGTAAAATCTACGGGATTTTTCTAACTAATTCATTTGCATACCGTGTTTTGAGGAAGTCATGCTTTTTCGAATGAGCCTACTTGCAGGCTCGTAGAATGACTGCCGTTCGAGCTATAAGCCTGCAAAGCGGTGCAAGTCAGTGGTGAGATGCAGGTGGGGTCGTGTGCACGCACTGTCGAGAGCATTTTCAGCAAAGAAGCTCACCAGCTCACGTCCGATGCATAGAGGATGGCAAAGAGCATTCATTTCATTAGAATAGCCTTGTTGGTATGTCTTGAATAGGTTTCCAAGTGAAGAAACTTGGCTTGAAGAAGATCGGAAATCGCGCCTCCCCCCCCCCCCCCGAGCCGAAATCCTGGGTACGCCACTGATATATATATATATCAGTGGCGTACCGAGGGGGGGGGGGCGGGGGGGGCGCGCGCCCCCCCCGAGAATGGGTCGCGAAATTTTTGAAAGTTACTTATATGGGTTATAAAAATGTGCAAGTGACTTGTTTATTTTTGTAAATAATTAAAATAATTTTTAAAAATTTTTAAAAATTCAAATTAGCTTTGTAAAAAAAATTTTTTTCGGGGGCGTGGCTGACGCCACGCCCCCTTTTTCCAGATTTTAGGGGTCGAAACCCGCAAAAGTTTTGAGAACCACCCCAAAAATTTTTTCGGAGTGCGTGGCTAACGCCACGCACCTTCTTTAGAAAAAATTTTTTGTCGCGCCCCCCCCCCCGAGCCGAAATCCTGGGTACGCCACTGATATATATATATATATATATATATATAAACCTGAAACCTCAAAAGTGGCTTGTGCCACCTGACACAGCCACACCACCAGCTAAATGTTCTAGCGACATGTTGCAGAGCTCGGTTATCTCTCGCATGCTAAGAACACCCGTAAAACAACCTATATTCTCATTTTTCTGCACAGGAGAAATTGAAAGAACAAGTTTGCAAATAATGTACAGTTTGTTGTGCAGTCTTTTGCATTTTTCTGATCTACTTTTCATCATTTTGGTCGGCGATCAGACTGCGAACAAGTAAATTTGTCTTCTAGCTTCTCTGTCCTTGCGCTGAACCCTAGTGGAGATAGTATCGCGAACTCCTCAAATAAACCATGCTTTATTTCTCGTTGGCAACATTTCCCTTCTTGATGTGGAGATCGGCCAATGTGAAATCGAAAAGGAATTGAAGCCTTTGTTGATTACCTCAGGTTATTTATACATAGAATACTATTTACCGTTGAAATTCTATCAAAAGAAAACATTTGCTACAAGATAAAAAGTGAAAAAAGTAAGTGCTTGGAAACTTTTTTGCAATCCATGAAAAATTACAAAATTACAGACTTTCTTCGAAGCAAATTTCTACGATGCCGAATACTTCTGTAGCACTCTTGGAGGACATTTGATTTCGATTCACAGCTATGACGAAAATGTCTTCGTAGCTGGTAAAGTCATCTTGTTTTGTGCAAAGTACAGAATCAACATAGATTTTGATTTAGAGTTAGCAAGAATGGGAAGGCCATGGAGTGACGCTCGTGACTTGACTTGGATTGGTCTAAGGACTGAAGTTACACAAAGCATGAAATGGAACTGGACTGATGGCACTAAACTTGACAAACTGTTCTGGGGTCGAAATAGACCTATCAACGACAAGGAATGTGATTGTGTGCTGGTATGAATTCTATACTAATAACGAGGATCAGTGCTTTGAAGGCCTGCTCGTTTTGGCGTTATCGCCGCCTTCAGAACTGAAAGAAAGGCTTGCGAGATTCAACTCGTGCCAAGCAAAGTTATTATGTAATGAAGTAGCTTTACTCTGCTCTACCGTCTTTTGTCCAAAGAGTTTTTTTTTGAGGCAGACCATCAGCAAATATATTTTTTACTTTTCTTTCATTATTGGAACCATGGCGGCTCCAATTTCAAAGATTCCATCTTCCAATTGAAAGTTCTTCGTAGGCCAATATCCAAATGTAACGTTGGTATCTTACTTTCACGAATAGAAACAGGGAACCTATCAACGAATTTTACAACTCTCACTACGTAATCTGAGCTTACATGCCTTTTTCTCGCTCGAAGCAACTCATTATCTTATATATAAAGCTGAATGTCTGTTTGTATGTCGCTCTGTATGTCTGTCTGTCTGTCTGTATGTTTGTACGTATGTTCCGAATAGAAAATTCCATTTCTGAACCGATCCGGACCAAACTTGGCACACATACACTTCGGGCCCCGGCGGGGGTCATAGGTTACTTTTCGTCATCCCGAAATCAATTTTATCGATTTTATCGATTTTTTGCAAAGTTTGAGCTACGGGGCTGGGATTTGGCACAGGGGGGTAATCGAGCATGCTGATTACGAGTTCGATATTAGTTTTTGGTATTACCTATTACTTTTATCGATTTTATAGATTTTTTGCAAAGTTTGAGCTACAGGGCTGGGAGTTAACACAAGGGAGTAAGTGGGCATGCTGATTTCGCAAACAACACAGGGAACGTGAAGTGTGGAAGTGGGCACAGGGAAAGGCTTCAAGGGGATAGAAATGGAAACATTATTACAGTGTTTTAACAGTTCCGAGCGGAGCCGGGTAAGCAAGCTAGTGTTCAAATAAAAAGCAATATCAAGAAGTAGCGCGCTGCCTATCTATCACTTTTTGATATCCTCAGTTTTCTGAATATTTGGTAGATAGACTCATAACTATTCACAAACAGGAATGTTGAGCAACCATCCCTTAGCTGTTCAGGATCAGGATCAATCCTGATTTGACTGAAGCTTCGCGACACAACCCCGATTTGATCATTTTTTGCCTACCTGTGCTCACCATTCCATAACCGTTTCGAGAATCTGCCTCCGGACTATCGAACGTAAGATGGCTATAATTCCGATATTGGCAATTAAGCGCAAAAAATGTTACAAAAATATCATATTATGCATCACTTCATTTTTACATCTAAATCCGTGATGGTGAACGTGCAAAGGATATATCTGTTGCCATGTTCCAAATGTATCGGACACATCGCGAAAATTTATGCAACATCAAGTCACAATAATTCTTCTTTGGGACTATGAAAACAACAGACCTCCGACTATGCAGTATAGTATATACTAGCTGGCTTACCCGGCTCCGCCCGGCCCCGTCGAAACGCTATGATAAAGCTCCCATCCCTATCCCTGTACAAATTCTCTGTGCCCACTTCTACATACCAACTCCAACTCCCTATTCCTGTTGTGTTAGTTATCAACATGCTCGCTTATCCCTGTGCGAATTCCCAACCCCGTAGCTCAAACATTGCAAAAAATCGATAAAATCGATGAAACTAATGGATAATTCTAAAAACTAATATTGTATTCGTGATCAGCATGCTCGGTTACCCCCCCCTGTGCCAACTCCCAGCCCCGTAGCTCAAACTTCGCAAAAAATCGATAAAAATTGATAAAATCGATATCGATCGATGACGAGAAGTAGCCTATGACACCTCCCCCGGCCTCGAAGGTATGTGTGCCAAGTTTGGTCCGGATTGGTTCAGAAATAAATTTTCTATTGGGAACATACTTACACAGACATACAGACATACAGACAGACAAACAGGTACTCAGCTTCATATATAAGACTAGCTGGCTTACCCGGCTCCGCCCGGCGCTGTCAAAACACTATTACAAAGCTCCTATTCCCATCCCTGTGCAACCTTTCCCTGTGCCCACTTCTACATACCAACTCCAACTACCTATTCCCGCTTTGTTAGTTATCAGCATGCTCATTATCCCTGTGCCAATTCCCAGCCCCTTAGCAAACTTTGCAAAAAGAATGATAAAATCGATAAAACAAATGGACCTGTGACCTGTGTACTCCTCTAAATGATTGAAATAATTTTCAAATTTTTAAAAAATTTACCCTTGTTAAAGTTTTTTTCGGAGGCATGCCCCTTTTTCTCGACTTTAGGGGTTATGGGCCCGCAAAAATTTTGAGAGGCACCCCAAAAAAACTTTCGGACTGCAGGGCTTTAGCCATGCACCTTTCATCTAAAAAACTTTTTCCCTCGTCTAAAAAGATTTTTCGCCGCTTCCTCCCCCCCCCCCCCCACCGCCACTGTGTGCAACCTAACAAAAATACTTGTTCTAATTCTTGTTAAGGGGTAAAGTTGATCAGGGTTACATCTGCCAGTGCCGGAGGCCCTGCTGATTCATCCTTTACAATTCCTTTCTTCACCCATTTTAAATGATTTGTATAAGTTTTATTTCAGATGTACAGTGATCCTTATGTCGACGTGGAATATGGGTACCAGTATCAGAAGTGGACAAACAATTATTGCGCCATGTCTGTAAGATCGTTTGTATGCAAGAAAACGGCTTTGCATTGAGCTAGCTTGCTTACAATAACGAATGAAACACGAACCTATTCAGTGATTCATAAAGTTCATTCAATAAAGCATTAACAAATTTTTGCAGCTTTGTAAACATATTGAAAACAATAGAATTCTGTATATGTAACCGCTGCAAATCCAAAAATTTATTGGAAAGTAACAACAAGTCACTTTTGCAATAGCAAGTAAAATAGTCAGGATCACCTTATTCGTTGCCTTATGGAGATTATCATGTTACACAGTCCTTTTAATTGTAATTTTATCGAAACTTCTAAAATGTAGTGTTCTTATTACTTTAAGCTCGAATCAAAATCATGAGTATGGTTGACAAGATACGTAAATGTTGAAAAGCAGCTTATCTTGCTTTTGCAAAAAGCAATTCAAAAATTCGAGAATTATCATTGCTTTTTGCTCTAGTTTTTGCAAAGTAGAAATTTTGCTAGAACAAACGTAGCAGACTTCGATGCACTTGCTGTACTGTGCACAGAAATCCTAAAAATCTTGAACATAATTTGGCTGGATAGTTGATATTGCGAGCGGCCGAGCGCCGACAAAGGCGCAGTAGCATATTACTCTGAAATCTCTCGAAAGATTTATGCACCAGAAGATTTTGCAGTGCTGTTTAGACTGCGATGTGAAACTTTGTCTAAAGATTGCAAATTGTTACGTTTGAGGAATTACAGTATAAAGCGAACCAAGGATCTATCCTCACTAGCCTGAGAATTACGGTAAGAACTACCACATGCAGAACCATATTGAAATAGGTCGTCTGACAAAATTTTTTCAAAAAAGCTGGAAAATTGTGTGGCAGAATTTTTACGCATGTTCATTTCAATGCATTTTTTGCGTTTCTTGGTGGTGTATTCACATTTTTGATTAATATTGGAGAAGCAATTGTTACTACTGGAACAACTTATGAAAGGAGCATTAGAGTGAAGTGTAAATTTTATATTTAGAATCAACGAGATTGTTTACCCCAGTAGAAGAGTTTTGACTTGCTCGGTTTTCTTCTAAGGTAAGATATAGCTCTCAATTTCGTAAAATCCCTCTCGAAGTTCCTACTGTAATTCAACAGTAATAAAGAGCTGTCAGTGACTCGCTACACACTGTAAATTTTCATTTCATTTTCATTTTCATTAAATACGCTCGAGGCTTACCATTGAGAAAAAAACAAACAATGTACCCTAATTTCCGGGGTATAAGGCGCAGTAGCTTTCACCGCGCGCGGACAGATGTATGCTGACGCTTGCTATGCGCGGCGTCGCAAAGCGACCAACAGCAACCTCTTTCACCCAGCAGTAGCTTTTTTGCTCCCGTTCTTTGCTGTTTTCCCCTCAATAGTGATTTGTTTCAAAACAAATCTCTACCTTCTTTTCGATTTTTCAAGAAAAACAATTATATAACAAAAACCTTCAAATATCAGTAGTATCATTGTAGAGGAGCACAGTTTCAGTACCATTAGCATTATTGGAAACCATGGAAAGCACAAATGTAGCATGGAAACACATTGGAAACAAAAGAAAGAATCATCTAAACACCATAAACACCACTGAGAGCACCTTCCTCCTACCTGTAGAAACGATTTCAAAGTATACATTCTGAGAAAAGGAAAAAACCCTGGAGGCATGATGGGCAGTGAAGACTGACACAGCACACTGAGTTTTCAGCTTTTTAGATTCAGAGCAATCATTTAGTAAGCGTTTTCGCGCCGTTATTCGCTGCGGCGAGTGCGCCTTATACAAGGTGCGCCTTATACCCCGGAAATTAGGGTAATTGTTAGTTTTATACAAAGCACGAATAACAACAGAACATCATACGCTTCAAGCCCAGACTTCATACAAACTAGAGAATGAGACTTAGCTTGCAAGAAGACTGCTGGATATTACGAATGTCAATGATGAATTATATACACAGAGATGGAACCCATGTTAGCCAGCAAACGACCTTAGTATTCAAACAAGCAAACAACGGCGTGTTAGCACCCACCAGCCTGCCGGGGAGAGCCCAAAACTCCATGAGCATTGCTACATGTGCAAAACAGAATACTGCACAACGATTATGAATCTAAACGAATTGTAATCTAGGGAGATGGTACCCATGCCCCTTCGTTTGCTAGCCACGATTTCAAAAGATTTTCAAGAAACAAACCGGAGCTTATAGCCCAACCAGTTTGCCGAGGAGAGCCCAACTCCAAAGTAAGAATAAGCATAACATGATCTTCAAGCAATCAAAGCAAGCAAGCTGTGCGAAACAGGCTAAAATATGGATGCGACCCAGGCTTGAACCACATGGTGAAGAGAACAGTGTTAGTAAAAAGCTCAAAAGCAGTAGAGTTCAACATATGCAAAGTTATAAAATGGCTGCGAGTCAGTGCATATTCGTAACCCAATCATGCACATTGCACATGTCTGGTTGCACGCGCAGTCATAAAAGAAGGGAAGTGAGATACGTTGAGCCTGAACGTTGAGACTTTTTTGCATAACCTGCAAAAAAGTCATTCAATCTTCTTTTCTTAAGCTCTCTTCTGAAAGAGGAACTATCACTACATGCCAAAAGTTCGTGTGGTAATTTTTGTGACATTTTTGATGTGCGAACAGAAAACCCTGCTCAAATAAGGAACGAAATCGTTGCCGCCCACCAAAGTGAAGGAAATAAATAGAGAATGCACTAGTCCTTCCATGGCTAACAATAAGTCTGAAAATCCAGTACTTGGAAGGCTTCAACTTGGTTTCACCCCTAAAAATCCTAAAAGCTAATATGATATCATGGACAACTCTCCGATATGTAATGCTTTCAAGATCAAGAATTTTCAACCTCTGTTCATAACTAGGAAGTAATCGGGGGTGAGCTGGATTAGGAAAACAGCGATAGAAAAGCAGTTTTGTGAACACTTTTTGAACCTTCTCCAATGCCTGCTTGTACTTCCTCAGGGAGGGGCTCCAAACTTGATCGCATATTCAAGAACAGGAATAACAAGGGTTTTCATTAAGTTTCCTTAAGATTTTTTGATCGGTTGATTTGATGTTTTTGAAGATTATGTATAAGATGGAAAAAGCACGGGAGGTGACGGAGGCAATCTGTAGATCCGGTCTCAATCTCGGATCTATCAAAACTCCCAGTTCTTTGACAAATGTTTTGTTAATCAGTGCTATTCCATTGTGCTCATAATGCACTTGTTCTTCGCCACCGATGTGAAAAAACGGAACTTTTAGCAATGTTAACAAAATATCCCACTTTGAACACTAGGCAATCGTGAGATCAATAGAATACTGTAGAGCTTCTTGGATCTCATAGCGATTCTCATTGCTGTATATTCCGTATATTTTTATGTCGTCTGCATACATATTCAGACAAATCACCGGAATGCAGAAGTTCCGCAGGACTTTGTTCACTATTGCGAAAATGAAAACGTTGAAAATCGGAACTTCCGCGGGATTTTCATGCCAAGCTGGGTGAAAACCGGAACTTCGCAGAACCTTCTTTGAAATCCTGTGGAAATTCCAAAAACGCCAGAGATTTCGCAGCACTTTGGCCTGCCAGAACTTCCGCAGGACTTTGAATGTGTTGTCTCTCGTGATATTGCCTCGCCAACAACTAGAGTGCATTGTCGAGCATGTCAGCCTTCCGGAACTTCCGCAGCACGTTTACGGAACTTCCGCAGGTGATCCGGCGGAACTTCCGCAACTCTCTGCGGAAGTTCCGGTCATTTGTCTGAGTAAGTACATGAATTCCGGGGTGAGCCTTCAACATCTGGGGTAAATCAGCAATGTAGTCGTAAATAGAAGGGGAGACAGAACACCTCCCTGAGGAAGCCCACTATCGCAAGGAAAACGCTCAGAGTGTCCATTCCCAACGCGGACAGTCATATGTCTGGATTGGAGATATGACTTGAGCCAATCAAGTGAGGCGCCTCTGACCCCATAATGCTCAAGTTTGTACAGCAATTTAGCATGACTTATACGATCAAACGCTTTGGAAAGATCAAAGTAGATAACGTCCACTTTCTGTCCCAACAAGATAGCATTGACCCAATCATGAAATGAATCGATCAACTGGGTAACAGTAGAAGCACCACTAACAAAGCCGTGTTGCTCGGGGGAAATAATTTTGAATCTTTCGAACCACTCCAAAAGTTCATCACAAATTATTTTTTCCAAAACTTTGCATGGGACGGGATTGATGCTAATAGGTCTGAAGTCACAAACCACTTGAGGTTTACTGACTTTTGGAACGGCTGTGACAATAGCTTCTTTACAAATACTTGGTACCTCACCACACATGAGGGTGTTAAAGATGTGGGAGAGAGGAGTAGCAAGTTCTTTAGCACACCGCTTGAGTACTATCTGTGGGATTTCGTCGAAAGTTTCAAGAGTTGAATTTTTGAGACTTTTGAGATAGCGTTCCACCTTAAAAGGCATGATAATCGGACTGAGCATATTTGCGCCACAGGCACCCCAAGAGATACTGTTGAAGAAGATGTCGTAGTAAATGTGCTCGCAAAGAAAGCACCTAACGCTTGAGCTTTGGATTGATCAGTTAGGCATACATTATCCGATTTATCTTTCAAAGCACCAAATTCTTTGATATGAGTTTTAATGTGGATATACGCAGAAAGATTCCGTGAGTGCTTTGACAGAGCCAAGCGTCTCTCATAATTAGCAAGGAACTTCTTGAGGTGGAATGCAATATCGCAACAGACTTTTTTGTATAGCGGACTATTAGATCAAACCTTGAACAGCCGTTCTTTTTGCAGCAGGAGTGACTGAAGGTGATGCGGGTATTTTAGATATCCAATTTTTCTAGTTTCAAATGGGGTAAATCTTCCTAAGAGCTCATATAGGACACAGGAAAGCCTGTAGCACACTTCCGATGAATTGCTGTAAAGACCAAAGCATTCTTTCTTCCCAGTTAACTTCATTAAGCTCTTTTTTCTATGAAGCAAAATCAATCTTATTAAAATTTGGTCTTGGTATAAGGTCGCATTTTGGAGAAGCGAATTCATACCGAAAATCGATCATATTATGATCAGAAGTGACAAGGGGAGCTATAAGGCTTGATTTAGAGACGGAAAGGGAACC